TGCAGGAGGCCAATGTGGCTGGGACAGAGGACAGCAAAAAAAAGTTCTAGACATCTTAGACCTTAATCTAAAAACTAGAATAAAGGAGATTACTTATGTATGTACTTTATGCAAAAACAACATCCATTTCTCATTAATATTAAAAACAATAATGCCAGCGCCACTAAGAGAATCTTGTCAAAGTCAGAGCTAGTAATTGATACATTCAAGTTATTTCTAACTATTTCCAAGAAGAAAAAAAGAATAATAAAAAGCCTTACGTGATGTACATAAATTTTGATAAATTTGGACAAGACATGCAACAGCAACCAAGATTTAACCCCAAAAGAAAACATAATCTTAGACAATAATCTAGATTATATAAATAAAGCAAAAAACCTAATAAGCAGGCTACCTGAGCACTAGATGGTTGAGAATTGTTGGCCATTCCAGAACATATGCAAAGTTTACCTCAAATACCTGCAAAAAGAGTCAATAAAGAACGATCATAAAAGGTTTTCGAAAAATGTTGAGAAAGCATCCAAGTCCCATGAGTTCCCGATATAATCAATCATTAACCGAGAAAACCAGGAAAAAAATTACTCCAAATCAATCGCATAAAGTAACTGAAATAAAGAATTTAAAATTGGATTATTATTACTTAGGAATATCAAGCGCAGATGAAAGAGTTCCAATCTGCGGGAGAGCTTAGATCTCAGTAACGAAATTTCAGGTGCTAGGGTTTAAGAGAGGACTAGGTTGAATTAAGAGGAAAAAATATATTTTCTTCTTCCGGAAAATATACTAAAAAGTTATTTTATCTTTAATTTCCGGTTCTGCCACTTATACCTTTGACGGGTACACCTGACCTTATCCAAGGTTCTCCGGGTCGGTTCCGAAACAAACCCACTCACTATTTATTTCGGGTCAACTCATTTTCATTTCTATAACTACATAAATGATCATCTGATGTTGAACAAATTTTCATTTTGTCATTCAACTATGAAATATTATGTTTTAATCACTAACATTATGATACTACATTTTTATAATTCATCCATTAATTTTGTTATTGCATTCACTTTTTTAAATTTTTCACACATATACATTTAGTTTCCTGAATTAACTTTATATCACTTTTTATCTTTTACTCGTATGGAGGCTTTAACCTAATCTCTTTTAATTAGATGCAAAAGTTGTGAAGCTTGGAAGAATAAAAGAAGAAGAAAATTATATTGATGGATTATTTCTCAATTCACAATCCCAGCTACTTTTTCTTAGATACTCTATACAGTAAGCCCAGACTTTGAAGCAAACATTCAAATGGAGTTTTCTCTTAATTGACTTCTTGAACAACAACAAAATTAAATTTCTTTTCCCATGAAGTATACCGTTTTAAAGAGCCGACAATATCCTCTGATATATCTTGATAGACTTTCTATCGGTAATCTATGTGCTCAACGACAAATCAAACAAATATATTATTTTAAGATCCTCGTCGACAAAAGAAATTCAAAGAAAACTAGTAATATCTTTAATATAATGTCGAAGTACGCGATTGGAGAAATTGATATTTGGACCGTTAAAATAAACCTTAGAAGGTGTCAATTAAATCCTTCTTATGACTACCAACCCTTCAAGAAGAACAAGAGTTCTATGAGGCTTGTTGTGGTATTTCGTGTGTTGCTCGTTCAGCCATTTAATATGCCCATAGCAACAATTTTTGAAGCTAAACATTTTCTTCAGTGCATGTACGATGAACACAATATCAATCTGATTGAGATAGTTCGACTCGAAGAACCATAAATCATGTGTCATAAGAGGAAAACAATTATTTTAGATTAAAAAATTTACTTTGAACAAGATATTGTGTGGTATGTCAATGTTTGGAGATGGATTTATGATGAGTGACAGATTCGTGTTTGATGAAAAGTCACAAATTCTAGGATGATGTTGTCACGTTCGACGAGCACAGACGAGCATTGTTAATGATGAGCGCACCATGAAATTAATTTATAAAATACTAACTTATAAAATATTAATTAGAAATTAGATAAAAATCTAAATGTAATTTAATTAAAATACAATATTGATAAAACATTAGTTTTTAGGGTAAATTATATCATTGACCACCTAACTATTTATCCCATTTACTTTAAACACCGATTTTTCAATTTTATCAATCAAGTCACTTAACTATTTAAATCTTGTCAATCAAGCCACCTACCGTTAAATATTAACGGAGAAGATGACGTGACAGTTAATAAAATTTGTATAATTACACATTTAATCCTCATTACTTACACATTCTATTAATTTGGTCCTAACTTTTATTTAATTCTATAAATTTAACCCTCAATCCAATGGTGGCATGTGTCACTGTGTAATTGGATTTTTTCATATTTTTTATTTAATAAAATTTTCATCCAATCAAATGGTAATATAGTTAATGGTAATTTTCCTAGCCACTAAGCTGGACCAATAAATTTATCTGGTATACAAAACATAATCTATATATATAATTTATAATATAGTTAATGGTAATAAATGATTTTATAAGGACTCAAATATGAAATAATTGAATAGTATGAAAATATAAATAGAATATGTTTTAGTTATATTTTAAATCACATTTAATGCAAAAATTAAAATAAAAAGTGAATTTGATATGTTATAATTGAAATGTATTATTTTACATATTTTAAATTAATAAATTGTCTTCATTATTCTAATTTTATTGAACTGAAATGTATCATAACTTATATTTTAAAATATTATAACATCGATCGGATTCTAATCGTATTTAACAACTCTACATTAAAATATACTAATTTAATGAAATCAAGTTTCCCCTAAAATTTTCATCAAATATATAATGAATAAATAATAAAATATAAAAATTTTACTCTAACTGGGATATAAACAAGTCAATGCATAAGTTAAAATGCTTACTACAATAATCCCTCAACTATCAAAAAAATTCTAAGTCAACGAAGCTCTTCGTTATATTTCAATTATAATATATTAATTTTTTTTTCATTAACATGATTTAAAATATAAATAAAATACATTCACATATTAATAAGTTATAAATCTGTGTATATATATCATATTATTGTATTATTCAATTATTTCATGTTAGAGTTGTTTTTAGGTCATTTTCTCTTTTTATTGCCGTTAACTATATATATTACGTCGTGATAGGTTTGTTATTTGAATGGTGCAACCTAGTGATTAGGGCGTTTGTTTTCTCTCCTCATGTCTTGGGTTCAAACCCCACTAGCATCGGTTATTGATTCAATTTATTTTCTATTCATTCAATTGGTGAAACGTGGCACCATTTGGTTGGATGAAAAATTTATTAAATCAAATAAAAATATTAAGAAAAAATATACAAGCACATACTGATTGATGATTAAATTTATTGAATTAATTAAAAGTTAGGACCAAATTAATAGAATGTGTAAGTAAAGAAGACTAAATATGTAATTATACGAATTTTATTAATTGTCACGCCATCTCCTCTGTTAATATTTAACGGCAGGTGGCTTGATTGACAAGATTTAAATAGTTAGATGACCCTGTTGATAAATTGAAAAATCAATGATTAAAGTAAAATGGGTAAATAATTAGGTTCTCAACGGTATAGTTTACCATAAAAACTAATGTTTTATAAATATTATATTTTAGTTAAATTACATTTAGATTTTTAACTAATTTATAATTATACATTTAATATTTTATAATTTAATGTTTTATAAAGTAATTTAATAGTGTTCATCGTTAACGGTACTCATCTACGCTCGACGAGCATTATAGAATTTTTCCAAATTATAATACATGCTCATAAAATAAAAGTCGTAGAATTGCATTTTTCTTCTTCTTCTACATTAACCTTATCCTATCTACTTGAACTTTTCTTTTTCTTTTTTCTAAAGACTCAACCATTAACGATCAAGACCATGAAAATAATATTCATTTTAATTCAACGAGGAAGATAGAGGACAAAGTTGAATAACAATGAGTGTCGATTTAGGTATATTGTCTGGCATAAAACAAACTTTAGATACCGAAAAGAAAAAGTACTTTGGATTTAAAACAAGTTGTATGTGCACGAATCAAGTGACATCGTTGATAAAAGAATTATTGTTATTCCTTGAGGTCTCGAGTTTGAGTACCAGGAATGTCATGGGTATAAACGTTGAATGTCATGAGTATAAACGATGAATGTCAAATGATTGAGTTTTACCTTTAAACATATATTACCTTATATATACCCTAGATTAATAATAATAAAAAAGTTACATGGCATCATATGATTGTTTAAATATTTTTAATAGAGATAATAATTGAATTAAAAATATAACAAAAATAACTTTATATACCTAATTTGACAAATAAAAACTTTAAATATCTATAAGAAAAAATGTAATACAATTTAGGTACTAAATTTTTATATAACCCTTAAATATACAATTCATTATAGCTTTAAAATTTAAAACTACTTAAAACCCGTCAACTAAGCGTCAAGTAGTGTAACAAGAAACATAATTTTAATTTTATTTAACATTAAATTTTATGTTCAATCAAAAAAAAAAACTCATCTAATTTCTCTCATTTAAGAAAAGTGTAAACTACACATTTACTATCCCAAGTATCTCTTTTATTCCATTTTGGTCACTCAACTATTTTTTTTCAAAATCATACTTAACATTTAGTTTTAGTTTCATTTTGATCACCCACCGTAAAAAAAATAACGCTATTGTTAATGTGTCACCATAAGATAATGTCACATCATCATTGAAAACATTAAAAAAAATCACGTCAACAGTTATATTTATTTTTAATGATGGGTGGCCAAAAAAATTTTAGGTATGAGTTTGAAAGAAAAAGTAGTTGGATGGCTAAAACAGAATAAAAATAATAATTGGAGTGATAAATATGTAGTTTACCAGAAAAACTTAGAGAACCCGAGAAGAAAGAACGGAACTATCCCTAGGGTTTTTTTTTTTTTTTTTTGCTCGCTCTTCTTTAGCAACAAATACGAAGCCTCCAATCCCGACGACTTCCTCTCCCAACATTTTCTTCTCAATAATTTCTGAACAGTCTCAATATGACCGGATCCGGAGAAGGTCAGAGCCTTATAAAGCAACTAGCGGCTTGCGACAAGTCGAGCCGAGACAGAGCCGTGCGGTCTCTCCTCAAATCGTGGCTACCTTCACAGAGTGAAGTCTCTGATGATGAGATGAAGAAGCTCTGGAAAGGTCTCTTCTATTGCGTTTGGCATGCCGACAAGATGCCGGCTCAGTCCGACATCATCGAAAAGCTTTCCTCGGTTCTTCTGGAGCTCGAACCAGGTCTATCTCTCCAATATTTCTCTGTTTTCCTTCTTACGATGCGTCGCGAGTGGACCGGGATTGATAAGTTAAGGTTAGATAAGTTTTACCTCTTAATTCGTAGGTTTTTGAATCGTTTTTTTGTTATGTTGAAGAAGTGGTCGTGGGATTTGGAATTTACTCGTAATTCGATTAGGATTTTAGTCGATGGAACATTTCTAGCTGACGATAAGTTTCAAGGGAATGGCGTTAATTATCACATTGCTTCGGTTTTTCTTGAAGAAATTAGGCCCTTTATTCCATTAAGAAAGGAGGTTGTTGAGGTTCTGTTGGAGCCGTTTGTTGGAATCTTGGGGAAAGTGGGTGATAAGGTTTTGGTTGGGAAGATTAGGAGTAATGTGTTTGATGTGTTTGTTAAAATGGGAAGGAGATTCCTGGAATTTAAGAGGTCTGGGGGCGAGGTAGATGATGGTGATGATGTGGTCGTGTTGGGGACGATCAGTTTGGTGATGGGGTTCTCCACAAAGTTTTATGAATTGGGTTCTTCAGTAGATTGCTGTCAGGGCAATAGGAAGACTTTGTTAGCTCTACACGAGGAATTCTTGACGTTGGAGAAGGATTTGACATCATTGGGTATTGATATTTTAATTCCTGAGGGTAATGAAGAAGATGAGGCGCCTGAATTGATACCTATTGCTTGTGAGAATGATGTTTCAGAGCCAATTGAAGTTAATATTAATGATTCTGCAAAGAAGGCGGTAAAGAAAAGCAAGAAGGACAAAAAGTTAACTGGGGGCAGTGGCAAAAAGACTAAGAAAGGCAAGAAAACTGAATGTAGCCCTGCAGATCAAGAGAATGATGTTAAGTTACCTGTAGAGGTTGCCAGTTCTAATATCGAGCAGAATGGTGATGGGGATTCATTAACGTTTACTGAATCAGTGGTATCGAACCTTCAGCTCCAGTTTGAGAGGGTTGCTGCAGAAGTGGGCTTGAATGGTGATGCCGCAAGTGCCTGCGATTTGCCAAAAGTTAATGGTGTTGTCTCCAAGAAGAGAAAGAGAGCAAAAAGAATGGATGGCCTAAAATCTCAGAATAGGGAGCTAATCAGTGAAGCTGACGGTGAAGGTGGTGGGACTGCAAAAACATGTGAGAATAGCACAAAGAGAGTAAGATTTTCAATGAAAAACAACTTGGTTTGGAAGCCCCACTGTCCTTTACCTCCATTAAGTTTGAGGTTACCTCCCTCTGTTACTCCTAGAGGAAGTGCACTTAAGCAAGGGATACCTCCAGGTCCTATAAGGGAAATACCTGCTGTGACTAAGAAAACGAAGAAAGCTAAATCTGTGAAGAAGGCTCGGAAAAAAGTGATAAAGAGTATGCATCCTATAGTCAAATGCACGAAGAAATCAAAATCTACGTCCTCTTAGCAGAGTCTGATTTGTTAGTTTCTTCTAAATTTGGTAATCGTGGTCTTGTTTTTCACAGTTAAAACCTTCCATAGCGTTATGCTACATTTACTTGGTAGACATTTTGGTCTTTGAATCCTGAAGTTGATTGTGCTGAAATGGTGACTTTTGATTGAATTATATTCTTTGCTTTCTGGTTGTTTTCTAGCATTCATTTGTTGCTTTATTTTTTTTCATATCTGTGATATTTTTTGTGACTAATTTAGGAATTCAGCTATTCATTGATCATATCCATTCTCATTGATACGAATCTGGCAGCTGATGTTGAGGATTTATGAATTTTAACACATGCCCATGTTGTTGGACATGTAACCTTTAACTCGTCCCTTCTGAAACACCACGGTCAAGGTTAAATATTTTTTGAAAACAATGAAAGGGTATTAAAATAGTTCTATAGTTGAAACCCCTCTGGTTCATATTGGTCTTTCTTTTACAGCCGCCTGGAACTGCAATGCGCAATGCATAAAATTCAGCTCTCTTCTATAGGCCACTGCTATCTACTGTCCTCTGCTTCTCGTCAACCCAACATAAAATGAAACAGTGTAATTGATACATAGTCTAACTCTAAAAAGTTTAATGATCAACCCCTTAGGCATGATATAATATACTGTTCCGAACCATACTAAGCCAAATCCATGGAATGGTGGAAAGTGGAACAGAAAATGTCCACTTTCTCACTGAGGCCCAGCAGAAATACATTATTCTTTGGTCAGGAACACCGAACTGAAAAATTAGGATTAGTTTCTTTGGGTAAACTACATACACACAACCACTTAATTTTTGAGGATTTTATTTTATTTTAACCGCAAATCTTTTAATTTTTTCAATCATACTACTTATTTAAATAATGTCAATCAAGACATCTGCTGTTAATATTTAATAGAGGGCTGATGTGGTTATTAAAAAATTTAATACAATTACACATTTGATATTTTATTATTTGTATATTTTATCAATTTGATCTTAATTTTAATTAGATGATAACACATGTCATTATTTGATTGGGTCTATTAAATATTAACAGTCAATGGTTTGATTGACATCATTTAAATAGTTAAGTGATCTTATTGACAAAATATAAAGATCAATGGTTAAAATAAAATCCCGCAATAGTTAAGTGATCATTACTGTAATTTACCATATATGTAAAATGATGATAAGTTAATAACTTTTGTAATTTTTAAAAACTGAATCAAATGAAAATTAAATGTATACAATAATACAAAATCAAACATTTAATAAAAAATTATGTAATTTTTATATTTATCCAAAAAAAAAATAATTCCTTAACATCATTTGCTACTAGTAATTAGTAAGAGGGTTTTCTTGGTTTGAAGAATATAGCAAGATAGCAGATACCGAAACTTTGAAGGTAACAAATAAGTATCAAACATCGGTCATATATAATACTTATTATTTTTTCTAAGTTCAAATAATGAAAGATTCAAATCCTACTAGCAAGGTAGCAACAACAACAGAAAAAAACATAAATTACCAGTCAATAATGTATTCTTCACCACCGGTGTTCAATGCACCTATATCCAAGTCAATTACCGAAATGTGACATTATTAGTGTGAAATTGAAAAGATTGCCACACCTTGCTTCAAACACAAAGGTGTCGCCAAGTTTACATCCTCCTAAATTTCATGATGAACCAAAATCATGGTTTACAAATGATGACACAAGAATTGCACCTTCATCATGTACGCATGCTGGAAGCAAGGCTCTGCAGTGTTGAACCATGGGAGTTCAACACAACTTCAATATATTGGCACGATCACTTTTGGAACCAAATGCGCAACCTTCTCGGGTTTTCTCTTGCTTGACAACAAAATGGTCTCTTTTTGAGTTCAAAGTTAAAGATCTGCCATTGTCTTTTAAGTTGAGGTTATGGCAGCATTCTGCTCGTGACATAAAAGGGAACAGAAGAGCCATTGTGCTCCATTACTGTGATATCGAAAGGCCAACATTATTCAGGTATAAAGAAAAAATCTTACCACTCAGCTATTGTTCAGAGGTGTCATCGTGATTGTGCTCTGAGGATGCAGCTGCCTCTTCCTTTGGAAAATCAGATTTTGTACTTTCTTGATCGGAAATTCCATTTGGATCATCATCCTCCCTATCAGAATCCTTTTGTGACCCAAAATTTTGAACTATTGATCTATTATCTTCAGATTTCTCAACTGTTTCAACATGTTGCCCGGGTTGAGCTTGCGACATAGACAAAGGAAAAGCCGCAGAAGCACCATCTGATCCTTTTAAAAGATAAACATACTTTAACACAAGTTGTCTATAGTTATTTAGCAGGTCCTCAACATCATTTATTTTCAAATCACCGGCATGAGAAAACATGTATGGGTACTCTCGGAACACGCTCATCGGATCCTCCTCCAGAAGTATGGTTGCCCCTCTATTCTCCAACTCTGAGATAGATGCAATTTTAGTGAGTGATGACTGGTCTTCTTTACTTGACCGTTTTCTTCCAGAAGATTTAGGTCTAACAGCATGGTCCTCCTTAAGAGTGTGATGTCTGGATTCAGTTGGTTCACTCTGATCTTGTCCAGTAATTTGGTTAATTTGACTGGACAGACCATCCAAATCTGTTGAAAGGCCAGAAAGAAGTGCTCGAGCAAACTCCATGTTTTTCTCAAACTCAGTTTCCTCCATAGAAAGGGCCTTCGCATCAATATTTGAGATGAAAGCCTCAGCAGAGAGCATGTTTGTGAAAAAATAGGCTGCTTCAGAAACTAATCGAGATTGACGTCTATAACGTTGTATATACAACAAATTTGAGTGAAGTTGAGGAGGATTTGCCTACATAACAAATTCCATTAGAAGAAAACGTTATGACCCTTTTTTAATGGAGGATTATCAACTAAACAACCAAATTATGCATACATGACTGATCTTACCAAATCTTACCTTTATGGTAACATAAATCAACACAGGAAGAAAATCATCAGCTCCCGGAGGATTCTTGTTTGAAGCAATTGAAACATTAAGCAATAAATTATTGATAACCTTGCAACAATTGAGGATACACACAAGCTTGTCTCTTGGAGCCTTGTACATATTGATTTTTTGTAGCTCTTTCTGTGCAAGCTGGCAACGTAAAGTATAGATTCAGGGGAGAGACCGATAGGTAGAATAGCTATCATATTGGGGAACCCAAACTTCCATGCATATCAACATACAAGCTTCATTGAAGAAGAACTTTTTCAGAAATAAATTAGAACCATAATCAAACTGCACTCAAGTGTTGGGACATATCTTGCACATAATAAATGTCTGTTACTGAACCAGCAAAAAAGGTAGAAAAATACAGGCAGTATATATGGTATGATATATTGATCAATAGTTAATAATCCAAAAAACAAGATACATTGCTCAATGGTTATTAGATCTTAAATTAAATGCAAGACAACGTCAGACACATAAGAGCGTGAAATTAAAAAGGAAGCAACATTTACAGCTAGATTGGACATCATAGTGATGACAGGCTTGTTTTAGATGGACTACTTATTTTGGGGAAGTGTTTGTAAATAATTTGCAATAATGAACTGGTTAAGTCTACAATCGTTCATTAAAAATTAGCAAACTTATTTAGCGTTAGGTGAGAAAAACTTATTGACCAAATTCCAAGTATTTTGCAACCAAAACTAGAGAAAACAAGTTGCTCTTTTGTGGAAAATATTTCTGAGGACAACATTCTTTAAAACCAGCCAAAACTTCATCTTCCAATTCATTCATTACTAAAACAAAGTTCATTTAATTCTAAGTACAACGGAAATATTAGCACAAGTTCAACCAACTGCTGGAGCTATGAGCACAATATCAAAGTGAATTCAATAATCATATTTAAGACAATATCATTGGTCAGGTGTAGAATTCATAGAAAAATGAAAATTAGTGAGGTATGAAGCTCTGAAAAAAGGGGGGAATATTTGAACAAAATAAAATTTAAGGCATCAAACAAGGGAGAAAAGTGCGTGTGTGTGTGCGATTTCATAGAATGCAGCTTCAAGTATCCACTTATGCATCAATGTTCATGGTTTTGGTTAAGTATAATATCTAAATCTAGATAAGCATACATTCAATAGGAAACAGACGAGATAAACTGCCATAAAAAATGTCCGGTCATGTTACCAAGTCTACTGCATGAGGCCTTGTAGAACAAGAAAACCACATCATTAGTGAACATTCCTTATTAGGTCATGCCATGGGAGGAAACCTTAAAATGAGTTCATGTCAAATTTAGACTCCTATGCTACACTGGGGGTAAGACACAAAAGAGTCCACCAATAATATGACTTTGATAGAAGTTCTCTTTTGGCCTCAATCACGGATGCATTAAGGAAAATAGATTCTCTACGAGGCAATGTTCCCACCTTGGAAGCCTCTAATAAAAATGTTAGCCTTTTGATGGTTTCACCATGATGGATTTTGAGAATCCCTATCAGCTTTTATTAAGTAGATGTTAACACCTGATTTCTAGATAAAATCATTGATTCTTATCTTCAAGGAAGGAAGCAACTTGTAAATGTTATGTTACTTCCAGCCAATGCCATATCATTTCACCATTTTCACAGAAGATATCTAAAAGCATATTCTGGCACAGGTTAAAAAGGGTTCTCACTTCTCAGTAAAACAGATTGCCAAACATAACAAAAAATAGAAATAGCTCAAAGAGACAACATATGCCAAAGGAAAGTTTATTCCATACAGAAAAACTATGTGTATGCGTGTGTATTTGAGACATCAATTCCACCATTTACCAGCCATGATGTCTCGTTTTGAAAGGTTGGCTTAATATCCAAATTCTCAGGCCGAACGAATTGCTGAACAAGAGCCATCTTCTCAGAAAGCTGTTCATCATGCTTTACATCATCTGAGAGTGAAGCAAACACACGGGCAAATAACTTTGTCATAACATACTTCTCCAATCCCTGTATTTGAAAAAGGAAAAGGTGAATAAATCAATCCCAGATGAAGTTTTTTCTTCTAGAAAACAAATTACCCAAATATAAGAAAGGCAAGTAATTTAATGCATTATATATATGCAAGTAAAATCAGTATAAGTTGACTTACTTCACCAGCACTGTCCAGCTCCTCCTCAGAGCATCCAGCCCAAAGCGGATGAGCTCTAAAAGCAGCTTCCATGTTGGCAAGAAATGCCTGTACGGCCGCACTATCCCTTTCGGGATCAGGAGCATTGTTCGAGAACGAAACTATGAAACTGTAATATGGCGACACGAACAGAACTCAAAAGTCAAAACCTAGAAATGACAGCCTAAAATGAAACACCGCTATCCAGTCCTTCAGAAATTAAGTTTTATTTGGTAATTAATTAAAAAAAAGTATCCGCATCGGGAATTCTACTTAAATTCGAAAAAAATCGACTAAAAAATTTAAATCATTGATCAAATAAATAAATAATTAATCACTTCCGATTCGTAGCAAATCACGTTCAATCTTGAGCCTCTATATACATTTAAAGATGAGAAATGAAAAAACCAGGAAGGGAAAATAATTAATACCTTTTGATAGATTTGACGAAATCAGCAGCGGTAGGCTGGCGCATGCGGTCTAGAAAATCTTGCAATCCTAGGAAAACGTCGGTGTTCTCCATTTTGGGTAACCAACTTCTGATTGTTTGACGGTCTCTTAGGACACGTTGATTAGAGACGAGAAAGAGAACGTTCTTGCTTAGGGTATAAGTCTTCTAGAATAAGAGGAGTGCTTGATTGAAGGTAGAGGTGTACTAGCAGACAACGACAAAAAAAGATGATTGAATTATTAAAAATTATAAAATAATTTTTTAATTTTTTAAGTTGATATTTTTTTAAAGATTAGAGTTTTTTTTTAGTTGGACGTTAATTTATTAATTAAAATAGAATAAGACTAACAATAAGTTTATCTAGTGAGAAAAGGTATTAGGTTTTTTAAGTAATGTTAGGGGTTCGAATTTTGACGTTTGTAAATAGAGTAAACTGGGTTGAGAGGGTCGCCCTCGCCCCTACAGTACCTGATCTGAATTAATTGGTCAATAGATCGGATATCAGTGATTGATTTAAAAAAATGACAAGATCATATCTTATAATCAATTTGAGTTGTATTATGTGAATTAACTCTTCATTTACATTATGTCATCGAGTCAATACTTGAAATATTATGTCGTCGTTTTAATACTTGAAAAGATCGATTATATCAGTAAATATCATTAAAATATGATTTTATCATATCTTAGTTAATAGTTTAATTTCCATCTCAAATGATTGTCAAATTTTTAGCAGAAAACGACAAGTTTAGAACATATGAATAGTCGAGTGGTATTTTTGTAACTTTTAATAATCATGAGACTTAATAAAATAATATCTTATAATCGAAGGATTATTTATAATTTTTAATAGTCACGAGGCTCAAAATGTAATATCCTATAATTGAGGAATCATTTGTATATTCACTAAAAAAATAAAATTCCAGATATTAATTTTTAGGGTAAATTATACCCAATATCACTAAATTATTAGGATATTTTATTTTAACAACCGATCTTTCAATTTTTTCAACTAAACCACTTAACCATTTAAATGTTGTCAATCAAATAACATGCCTTTCACATTTAACAGATGAATTGACAAAAATTGACAACAATGATTATCGGCCGAAATCAAGTCACATGTAGTTCACATTCAACAAAATTAGTATAATTATATATTTAATACTCATTACTTATATATTCTATCAATTTAATCAAAAATTAATCCTTTAATCATTAAGTGACACATATTATAATCTGATTGAAGGAAAAATGAATTAAAAATCATTCAAAAACTATAGTTTAACTTAAAATCTGATTGATTTTTGGAATTTTCATTTTAGAGGATCAAATATTTATTTGAAAAAGCAAAACAGTTTGAATTATAGTTAAAAAGCAGTAACTTACCATTGTTGAAGAAGAAAACCAAGATGAAGCTTGAATTCTTTACATTTCTATTAAAAAAAAAGTTCAGAGAAAGGAAAGAAGAAAATAATGTTTTAAGCTGATTTTTGAGAGAGAGAGAGAGGAATTTTGTGTTTGAGTTTATTGAATATCTAGATAATTCATTTAAATAAGAAAACAATAGCACAAACCAAACGATTTTGGTGATTAATGAATTGTTGTTATTTTTTGATGTTTCGAGTTTAAGTATCATGAATGCTAGAGATATGAGCCTTCAATTTTAAATGATTAAGATTTATCTTTCAACAGATACTATATTTAGGGATGGCAATGGGTCGGGTCGGGTCGGGTTTTTGGGCCACCCGACCCGATCCGAGAAGAAAGGGTTTTTCACCCGTGACCCGACCCGACGAAATTAAGGTTTCACCCGACCCGACCCGACCCGAATATATGACTTAGAAACCCGACCCGACCCGAAATAATAATAAAAAAAATTTTATTCAATGAAAACAGTGACTTAATTGAAAAAAATTATATATGGAGGGACATTATTGTAATTATCCCTAAATATATATGATAAAATTATATATATTTTTCGGGTCGGGTCGGGTTGGATTTTTTTCACCCTAAACCCGACCCGACCCGAACAGTACATTTAAAAAAAACCCGACCCGACCCGACCCGAACCCGAATTTTTTAAAAAAAAATCCGACTCGATCGGATCGGGTCGGGTCGGAACCCGTCGGATTCGGGTTGAGTTGCCATCCCTAACTATATTGTACTTATTTTATATTAATAAAAAATATGGTTATAAGAACATAATTTTGATCACCTGATTAAAAAAATATCAAACCTAAGTTTAGATTTTAAATTAAACTTAAATTATTCTCAAGAAAAATCATTGGTAACTATCTTTTCCTGAAAATTAATTAAAAAAATTTAAAATTTAGATCAAAAATTTAATTTTATTAATCTGAATTTTTGGATGCCGCACTCAAGATACGATTTTATATTTTCAAATCTAGAAAAAAAATATTACATCAACAATATTTTTTCTTCTATTGGTTAAATATTCAACCTTATTGAGTGAACATGTTACTAATTAATTGAAGTGTCACTGAAATAAGAACAAAAGGCCTAAGATCTTAACCTTAAGTTTCTTTTTTTATTTTGTGGTCGTTAGTCTTTTTTCCATTTTATTTTTTCAATTGATGACAATATTAGTTTTAATCTTAGTCGTTGATCATTGATAATCATTGTTTTACTTTATTTTATTATATCATATATTTATTTTTTTTAATAATTATGTTGTTATGACACGATTTTTTTATCTTTATGATATATTTTTTTCTGTCTTTTGACATGTTTTCATTCATTTAACCGTTATTTTTGTTTATTCTTTTTTTAAGATTTGATTTAACATCGTCACGATTGACTTTCAGATTAGATTTGAATAAGTGATTGGCGTTCGTGGATAGTTTTTCACGTTGCTTGATTCTGATTTGTGGTTTGCTAATAATCTTTCAATAACTTGATCCTTTTTGTAGTTCGTTTTTATATGCAGTCATATATGTTAGTATCTACATTTTATTTGAGTTTATTTAATTAGTTTTTCTCTCTTTGTATATGGTCCTTGTGAGATCTTAAGTGGCTAGTTTATTGTGTTAGTGATTATAGGAAAATATATTTATTACATGTTTAGTTTACAATTATAATTATAAGCCTTCATTGTAATTTAGATATTTTATATATTTAATAAAACTAGATGCTTCTATATTATAAAAAAAAGGTCTGATATCTTACTCGATTTTATATTTCACTATATTTAGAATGATTAAATGTACTATTGTCTCTTAAATTATGCATTTTGTATTGATGGTATTCTAAAATATTTTTCGGGATGTTTTACTCTTTAAAAATTAAATAGTTAAAATTATCATAAACCATTAATTCTATTAAAGAACAAGGATAAACTATATATTTAGTCCCTCAATTATTCTCACAATTTTATTTTGGTCATATAACTATTTTTTTTAAATCATCATTAAACTTAAGTTTTTATTTCGTTTTAGTATTCTGTTGTTAAAAACTAAAAATTAACATATTTGCAACTTTTATTTCATTGTTTAGTTGAGTTAGAAATTGGTGATACAATGGAACAAAAGCAACCAACCCATCTTCTTATGCTATACCAACTATAGTTGCGAGTTTGACTAGGTGAGGAAAACGAGCAACATATTTATAACTTTTATAATATTTGAATTTAAGAATATAAATTTAATTTAAAATTAAATTATAAATCTAAATATTTTGACGTGAGATCTTAGAAGAACCACACCAATGCTTCGTTATAATTGACATGAGATCTTTTAATCAAAATTTGAGGAAATAAAAACGATAATTAATAAATAAAGAGAGATTAAATCGATTTAATAAAAACGATTTTACCTGAGGCAGAGTTTGAATACAACAAGCATTAATACAAATTGCAAGTCGTTCCTTAAGACCAATGAACACTTATTTCTTATTTCGACATACCATAACAGTAAAACCTAAGTGTCTTTTATTTTAAAATTTTCTCTGCACAGAAACCGTGAGCAATGACTGAACGATTATCTTCACTCGTTTTTGCACTAAAAAAAAACCCTTGATGATAATACGAGTGAAATAATGAAAGAACAAGTTATGAAAAACTTATTATAAACCAACGTTATAAACCTTAAACCTTAAACTCATGTTATGACAAATTTATTCCGGAAAGCGTCACCAATCACGATTGTAAGTTTTCAATTAAAAAGTCGATATAGTATTGGCCGAAATAAAAGGATACAATACAAAATAATACAATTATTGTTAGGGGTATTCAAACTTTGATTTTAATCGAATTAATTGATTGAATCAAATGTTTTTGGTTAATCAGTTGGTTAATATTTTGGTTTAGTCTATTAACGGTTAATAATTTTTTAAAACTTTAATTATCAATTAATTAGGTTCTATTGGGTTAAAAAAATTTGAAAAAATTTAATGATGCTTTTGAGAAAAAATTGTGAAATCTCGAAAACATTTGAGTGACTAAACATATATTTTACTCTTATTTTTTAATAGAATTAATAATTTGAGATAAATGAAATAATTATTTAAATTTTAAAAGAAAATTATATTGACAAAATATATAATTGGGAGGGAACAATACATTTAAACCTATTTAGGAATAAGAAAGAGAGCGAGTGTAGAACACGCAACGAATTACAAGAGCGATGATTTAAAAATCGTATTATAAACAATATCTAACAAAAAGAACACATAGTTAAAACGATAAAAATTTCTTCGAGTAAATATCAATCCGTCAGTGTCTGAATAAAATAAAATACATTATAATTCGTATCACAATGAAAATCATAAACATAAGTATTTCAAAATAAGAGCACATGTCACCGTAAATAAAGCAGTTCGAAATATAGAAATATTACAATATATAGTTCTGTAAGAATGTGCCAATCTTCTAAGTGTCTGGTTTATGGTGCATATCCAAAGGTATCTGAAAGGGGGGGAAACAATTTGAAAAGGGTGAGCCAGCGGCTCAATTTGTTCCAATGGTGCAAGTAAAACATAATAGATAAAATAATCAATAAGTGTTTTAGTAAGGTTTCGTAAAGGTTATCGATAAGTTGAATTTAAAACTCATAGTTACCCTCCTCCAGTACACCAAAATGCAATTCCCTCAGAATTGCATACATAAAGGCTACCTAATACTCATTAGGTATAGGAGCCATCTTAAGGGAGTACCTTGGGGCCTGAGAGCTTACCCAAGAAAGTTATTGGGGTTTCGGAGTCTACCCAAGGGTTGATCATAGCTTAACATCCATACTCCAGTATCATATCCAAAACAATATCTCAATAAAACAGTTCACATAGTAAACATAAATTTCCATGTTCATAATCAGCATAATCGTATTTCCAGTGTAAACAAGTAACCAAATAACATACATCAAACAATCATAATTCATAAATAGTAGTCCAGTAAATCAATAATTTCGAAAAATCACATTTTAAATAAAGTAAAACAATTATATGACACATAAGGAACACACATCGCAAAATACGGTCGGTCAGGGTGTCTACTGAGCACTTGTTTCACCATGCTCTGCAGCAGTGTTTGAACCTAATTCATAATAAAAATGGGAACATTTTAATATATGTAATCACAAGGTTTACGGGTCATACGAGTGACTACTGGCTCAGGAGGTCGAACAGATTAGAGGAGTTGGGTCGAGTTGTCGAACGATCGGGAGAGTCTCGTGTACCTTCAAATAACAGTATATGATCATTCTCTAACCTTAATTTAATCATTCGTAAGTATATATGCATGCTCGAGTTTGACGGTAAATTCAAAAGCCTTCATGTTCGAATATGAAAAAACGGACTCCAGATTCGGATTCAAGAAGTCAAAAAACATAAAATATAACTTTTCGAAAAATTTGACTTTTTGTTCAAAGTCATCAATGGTCAAAGTCAACAGTCATGTCAACAATCATTCAAAGTCAGCGAGTTAACTCAGCTCAGACTCGGTTCAGACTGACTGAACAGTTCCAGAATGCTCCTGGACCGGCAGGAGAGTCTCATGCGCACTGTCGGCACGTAAGGCTGTAAAAAGCTGACCCGACCTGTAAAACTGACTGAAACCGACTCTAGTCAAAACTGTTTTTGACTTGCACTGTGGCGATCCGAAACCGACTCGAGTCGTAATTGCTGTTGACTTGAACCCCGATTTGGACATGGAAATTATGGATCCAAACCCGACCTGCATCCGGCATGAGAACGACCTGAACCTGAATTGAACCGAAAATATGATACCCGAACCCAAACTGCATCCGACTGATATGAACTCGAACCCGATATTGACCTGGTAAATAACTGGTATTACCCGACCTGTTTTCAACCTGGCCTGTTTTTAACCTTACATGTTTTTAACCTGACATGTTTTCAACCTGACCTGTTTTTAACCTGACCTGTAAATGATCCGACTTGTTAATGATCTGATATGATATTTACATAGACAAAATTATAAGATTTTAATAAAATTATAAGTTTTTTAGCTTATGATGTAATTAAAATATTAATATGATTACTTTTTAAATGTTATAATAAAATATTTATTATGATAATTATATTAATAAATAGACCTATTATATAAAATTATTTAAATGTAAATTAGATAAAACATTATTAATAATGCAAAGGAAAATTAATATAGTTTAATTTATATAGATTAATTTATATAAAAAATTATATTATATAAAATAACTTGAGCCTCTAAATTAGGAAAAATAAAGTAAAAACTATAAGGAAAAGGCCCACAACCCATAACTTAACTTCAACAATGTGAATGAAACTGGGAGACTAAATGACTAACCCAATTTCATTTTGATTTTAGCTTATATTGTAAGAGAAAACTGTAAGGAACAAGAGATCGAAGACGAAGAAAAGTGAAAGATTTGAAGGATGATTTATAGTTGGAGAAGTGATGAAAAACAGATAGTACACATCTTTTAATGCCCACTTCCTATACTACCACATGTAATACCGTAAAAAAGTAAATGATAGGATTTTTTGCTGTAAAACTTTCATCATATTAGAATTAGATCAATGAGTTCCCATTGTTATACCAATTCCTATCTATACAAACACATATAACACCGAATCTACCAATTTTATCCACAAGAAAAGATCTCACAAATTGATGGTGTAACCTAATCGACAGTGAGGTCTCTCATCAATATTTTAATAAGCCTCAACTGACGAGAAAATGATGGTCCCCCAACTGAGTCATCTCCTACCCTCCTGACAGACTCTTCATCCAATGCAAGAGTTGCTTCTAAAGTTGGAAGCCAGTTGGGTTGCTGAAGCCAGTGTCTTAATGAAAAGCTATAATGGTACTGCAAAACATGTATATATAAAAACATAAAAAAAAGTAGTTTTAACCCACTCAAAAGAAGTACAGAAGGGAGTTGTTTGTATTGGTATACAAGTCTCATAGGCAAAACAACAGAGTTAGGGAGGAAGCATGGATAGATGATGCAATATACATGAAAAGGAATAGTACTAAAGAGTTAAATGGATATAAAGGGCATACCCCATGGACAAGAGTTAATGAGCTATGACTGCCACTTTTATGTGATGATACATAACCATAAACTTGCATGGAGTAAAAATGGTAGAGGATTCTTCGACCAACAAGCTTTTTCAACACCTGCAATATATTCAAACACAAGGCATCAACATTCAACACAAAAAGAGACTGAACTTTGGGGTAAAAAATTACACCGATTGCTGCACAGACCTCAATTGCACGCCTTTCCCTACGTTGAGCTTGAGCACTAGTAGGTTATCAAAGCACAACTCTCGAGTTATACAAAGGACTGCAATTTCATTAACACCAAATGTTAACCAAATGTTAGAATCATATCAGAAAGACAGCTTAACATTAAATATTCTTACCCCTTTTTGAGGGCTTATAACTGCCAAGTCCAACAAAGTATAAAACATTAGGCTCATCTTACGAGCAATTCTGGATTACTTTGAAACTACAATGGGCATGGTATGCAACAGACTCTCTGTATTCCCTGATGGCAGTTAGGAATATCTACTAAAGAATAAAAAAGAAAAAACCTCTAGATGGAAGCGCGTAAGGAATTCTCACATGTTTAAGCTTTCTGGAAGGTTGAAGTGTGCATTTACAAACAAAGAAGGCTGTAGAAGACAAGTGGTATAAAAGCATTATCAAGTTGCGTTGTGTAGGCCTCCAACAGACCGCTTGTGGTCATAGCTATTAAAACAGGGAGCCAGTGCTGTGGAAATTGAGATTTACGTAATCAAATATTTGCAATGTAACAATAATCCAAACACTCAATTAGGCCCACGAAACTAATTCGAACAGCTTAACAAGATCATTTAAAAGAAAACGAGAAGAAAAAAATAAATAAACAACCTGAAGTACCCACATAGGGTGTTTAAGTGAACAAATTCCTTCCAGGCTAAGTTACCACAGATGTGCTAATGATGAATATCTCAGACAACATAAGAATGCCAGTGTGCGTATGTGGTTGGTGTGAGAAAGAGAAAGAGAAAGAGAGAGAGAGATAGATAGATACCTGAGTTAGAATGTATCCAGTGGATGCCAAAAGTGGAACCAGAACTAAGCAAGCAGCGGGGACAGATGTTATACCAGCTGGAGTGCCTTCAGTAGTTTTCTCTAAAGTGTAAGAAATTTGCTAGAATTAGCAGGTATCTCCTCAAAGGAAAGCTTAAACATTAAAAAATAATCAAAGTAGACAGAAAGAAAGCAAGAAAGGAAAATCCTTACTGCCAGTTTTGCTCCACCTAAGGACACCATACTTATGGCCAACCATTGATGCCTAGCATAAAAGCAAGATGATTACAACTTTATGAGCCACTTGGCAGGAGTAACAGGCAAGAAGCCAATTCTATCACTTTGTAGACTCTTTCATATTTATACCTCTACTAGTTCTCAATTATCCACTGTTTCAGATTATTCTGTAAAACAACCATCATAAGTTGGACTCCTATGGGGTTCGAGAAAACAGAAGATGAGTATAATGATTTGATGTCTAAGAAAAACACCATGGAGGTTGGCGAGGTGGCTGTGGATATGAATATAAAAGTAGAACAAACACTAGGTATGTAGTTACTGATAATACAAAGTAGGATTCTTAAATATGAGGTCAAGGATTTTTGAACCTCCACTACCACTTCACACAATCAAACATTCGGATATCATGTCAAAGTGTTCCGGTTCTTCCAGGTTTTCATTTTCTTATGTTCGCAGGTGCTGCAATACAGTAAAGAGTTAACTGATATATGCTCACCACAAACATCTGGAAACTTATTTCACTTCACCGGCTAGGCTTAGATGCTACGGTCCTCTGGACTGTGGAAACACCATCCACAAATTTTGTCCGGAAAAGGACATTGGCATTATTGAACATGCCCTCCTTCAGTGAAATAACAATAAACTGCAAGGTACAAACACAAAGTTCAAGCATTATTAAACATACACTCGTGTTGATATAGTTTCATAAGCAAATAAAAGAACACTAATGACGATTGAATCCTATATTTATTAGGTAGTCTCCGTGTTCAAGGCAACATTAGCATCGGGAAAACATAGTAATTATCAGTCCACACCTCAAAAAATGATTGCCTTACTGAGAGATTATTGATAAATTTAATTTTTAAATGATAATTGCCCCCATGTTATAATTTCACATTTCAGAGTTCATTTCCAGAAACTAAAATTTCCTCAAAAAGAAAGGGAACAACAAAGAATCAACATACCTAAAGAGTGTGGAAAGTGAGCTTTAATCATTCTTCCTATGTTATGAGTGTGGCTTAGATCTAGTGCTCCATCAACCTGTTGCAACCATCTCATAAGGAGGTTAATCACTTTGACTTTCATTTAATGAACAATAATTTACCGAAAATAAAAAAAGTACAATATCAAAGGATAAAACAAGTACAATTTCAGAAGATAATACAATAAGGAAGATGACCATGATTATGCAAGTTTGCATATTTGCAAGAGCCTTTAGATGCAAAAAGATTCAATAATTAAAATCCTTTAATCAAATTAAAGATTCAGAACTTATTCAAAGTCTGGCATGGTCTAAACATTAGCCTAATTTCTTATTTCATGCCATTACTATGATATTTGTAACCATCTGAAGCAAATCACAATAATCAAAAACCTTGTATGGGTTCCATTGTCCTGCAGAGGGTTAATATGAAGATGCAACTAGAAACTCTCAGCAAGATCAACTAAAAGGAGGAGAAGAAGAAAAAAAGTATAAACTTTCACTAAAAATTGAAGTCACTTTATTTATGGGATGAATGCAGATAATTTTGTAGGCAGTAAAGTCAAACGGGAAGAAAGCAAAAAAGCATACTTCATCGAGTATATAAAGTGGAGTTGGTTTAAACAGCAGTAGAGACAAGATTAGAGAAAGTGCTAGTAGAGACTGTTGACCTCCACTCAACTCAGACAAGGATTGTTTCCAAACACCACCAAATGCAACACGGACCTCAAGACCATCTAAGAAGCTGCAACCTTCTGGTGGTTCAAGCTTTGCCATGGTTCCCGGCAACAGGGTAGAAAAGATGGACCCAAAGTCACTGAAGGAAAGTGCATTATAAGGACAGTGCGACACAAATTTTTTAGAAACCCCAAAACCAAAAGAATCAGCATAGAGATGTAACATACCATTTGAAAAATAAGATTCAAACAAGTAAAATGCAGAAAAATCGACATTTCAGATGCTTACTGGTTAACTTTGACCCAAGTGACCTTTAGTGTTTCTTTCTTCTTCTCATCTAGCTCTTCAATTGTCTTCTTAATTTTAGATTTGTCATTCTAGGCAGAGAAACTATAGGATAAGTAAGAGTGAAATGCTAAAAAAAAGGTTAATAAAGATTGAGAGTAATCAACCTCCACGGTGTTTGTACGGTGCCCACGCTTGGTGGACCGGGATGGAGTTGGGGTAGTTGCCGAATTAGAAAAACGAGAAGGATTTGAAGGTGGGGTTGTGGCGGCAGAGGAATGAGTAGAGGCTTGACGAAGACCACGCGTGTAAATGATGCTGATTTTGGAGAAGAATCGGAAGCCATGGTTATGTTAAAATCATCAGGCGGTAAATGATGCTGATTTTGGCGTCACAGTTGGCGTAGCCTTGTGGCTTAAGCGATGGAGAAAACTCGTTTTTTAACTTCATTTGACATTGTAGTGTTATCTATTAATTTTAAATTTATTTAATTTAGTCTAAATTTAATGATTTAATATATTAATTTAAGCTTCAAATTTTAATTTTTTTTCAATTTAATCCAATTTTAATGTTATAATTTTTTAATTTAAGCTTCATATTTAAAATTTGTTCAATTTGATCCTTATATATTTTTCAATTCTTTCAATTAATATATATTTTTATATTAATATATTAATATATAGTTTATATATACTAATGAACTATTTAATATATAGTTTGTATATATCATATACTATATAGGTTATATATACTAATGAACTATATAATATATAGTTTATATATACTATATAGTTTATATATACTAATGAACTGTATAATATATAGTTTATATATACTAATAAACTATATAATGTATAGTTTAGGGTTTAGGATTTTTATATATAGTTCATGTGTAAATTATACTATATAGTATATATAGTTTATATATATAATATATAGTATATAAATATAAACTATAGTATATATATAGGTCATATGTAAACTATATAGTATATAAATATCAACTCTAGTATATATATAGGTCATATGTAAACTATATAGTTTATATATGTAGTATAAATATAGTATATAAATATAAATTATAGTATGTAGTTTATATAAATATAAATATAAACCCTAAACCATATATACTATATATATAAACTATATAATTTATATTAATAAACTATATAATTTATATTAATAAACTACATAATTTATACGATATATATTATTTATAATTATACATAGTATATAAATATAAATTGTATAGCTTATATATAATTCATATATAATTTATATATAAACTATGTAGTTTCTATATAGTTCAATAGTTCATATATAAACTATATAGTATTATAGTTTATACATGGTATATAGTTTATACTTTATACATAATATATATAATATATGTTATATATATAATACATATACTTTATATATAAACTATATAGTTTATATTATATATATATATATATGTAACATCCCAAAAGTCGGGTCAATAACCAAAATGGAATTTTTGGTAATTTAGTGACCAATCTCAGAAAGATTAAAAGTTTAGGGATTTTAATGAAAAATGTTGGTCTTGGATTTTATAACAAAGTTTGGAAGTAATAAGGGTATTATGGTCATTTCTCAGGAAAGATTTTATTTCCCTTTACAAAGGATAATAAGCACGTGGGAAATGAGAGAATTCTCCAGAGCTTTCTTTCTTTCTCCTTCTTCTCCAGCCGTGAGCTTCAAGAGAAAATGTGAGTTTTATGAATTCTTGATTATTTGTGGAATTAAAGGTTGGGTTTTGATCATTAGATAATAACTAAGCTTAAGGAAGCTTAAGTTATATTAGAAATCAAAACATAAAGGAGTTACAAAAGATTAAAGAAAATGAGTTTCAAAGCGAATTTCTGAAAAAGAGTTAATAAATGAATGTGGTGATGGAATTTGACTTGTCATAGGTGTGAATAAGAAGTTATAAGTGTTAAATCAAAGTTTGGATAACATGGAAAATTGGGAATGATTCTTAATTTTAAGAATCATGAAGAGATATGAAAGATAAAGATAGCTTATATGGATATAAGTTGGTTTATAAAGTGGTAGTTGAGTTTAATGACATGTTAGGGGCTTAAAATAGAAGAATTGAGTGAAGAGTTGATGATTTTCGGGCTTGAATACAATTTTTGGGCATGATGCATCGGTACACATTCAATATGTACCGATGCACTCTTAAAAGAAGAACACCGAATGCCTGGAATGCATCGATGCAGTTTGAGTGTGCACCGATGCACCACCAAGACAAATTTTGAAGGTGTATCGATACGTTAAGGGGATGTATCGATGCATAAAAATTCGAAGCCATTTTTTGTATCGATGCACCTATAGTGCATCGATGCACCCCTAAGGAAAATGTGAATATGGGTTTATTAAGCTCGTTTAAGTTGCTAGTATCAAATTACAAGGTGTATGTATCTAATAATTGTCTTGAAAATGTATAATTATGTAGATTCAGAGCCTGAACGAGTTCCAGAATCATTGTCAAGTAAGATCGATCAAAGGGAAAGATAAGAGATTGGAATTGACTAGTGAGTGCATATTCAATAGTATATGATAGGTGATGGGAAGAAGACTTACGATGAGTCTATTTCCTGAAGAGTTACATATGAATTCATGATTAAAGGCATGAGTTGAATATGAGTGTATGTATACTTGATTATATGAATTGATATGTTTTGTATGTGCTATGTGGTTTATGTACACACCCTATTAAGTGTTAATGAGAGAATATCAAATAAGTTATGAAATTATATGAATATATAAGATAAGTCAGGAGATGTAGGGAAATGGAAATAGAGGTTTATGAAGAATCATAGGAGAATAAATATAAGTAATGAGATAATGAAATATAAGACTATGTGAAATACATGGTTATGAGAATTAGTAAAATAGAGTTATTTGATTTAATGAGAATTGAGGAAACTAAATAAGATTGAATTATAGAATGAAATGAGAATAATATATCTATTAGGGAATTGGAATACAAAGCGCTGATATGTATATATATATGATAAATTATATGCTAAAGATCTATGGGGATTATATGAAAAGGTTATAAGGAATGTATGAAATTGAATTAATTAAATGGATTAAAGTAGTATATAAATAAAAATATGATTAAGTGTAATATATATGTTTAGAAATACGACATTAGTTATATAATCTAAGGGAATATAAAGAAATAAAGCATAAAGTAGACGAAATGAGATTATATAACTATATGATATACGTTATCAGGTAATATGAAAGGATTCAGGAAACTTATATAAGCTATGTGAAAGTGATCTAGGTGTTTATATGTGAATTATTCAGTAATAAGTTATATGAAATAAGTGTAGTGATTATAAGATCATAAGAGATAAGTCAGAGAATGTGAATAATATGACTAGAAACTATGAGCCTGTGTGATGAAATGAATATATGAAGACATGACTATGAGATATATGATAAGAAGTTATGATTAAACGATCAAGAGATATAAACTAAGGGATATATGTGAATTACGTGAAAAATGTGCTATGTGTAAGTGAATTATGTGATTATATGAATATGAAATCATATGAGAATTTATATGAACCATGTAACATCCTCCATGTCGGGTGAGTGATTAATTTGCAAAGTTTCAACATTTGGTGATTAAAGTAGAATAATTATATAGTTTAAAATGTATGGTTAGTAAAAATGAGAAG